ACCTCTCAAAAAAAAAAAAAAAGATAATTTAAAATGACACACCACTGGGGAGCCATCAGGTGGTGTGGTGGTTAGGGATGTTGGACTCCCACATGGACCTGGCTGCTTGCTTTCTCACTTTCTCTCTCTCTGTCCCTCTCAGGAAGAAAAGAAAGGAAGAGAGGGATGGAAGGAAGGAAAGTAGTTAGTTAGTTAAATAAAATAATTATTTTAAAAATTTTAAAAAATTGGTGCCGGCAGATGGTGTGGCGGTTGGGGGTGCTGGACTCCCACATGGTGAACAGCAGTTTGAGTCTTAAAACTGGTGGCTTGCTTTCTCACATTCCCTCTCTCTTTCTCTCCCTCTGTCCCTCTCTAGTAAAATTTTAAAATAAATAAATAAATAAAGTTAAATAAAATAATTATTTTTTTAAATGACACCACTGCATTTGGTCAAAGGTTACAAGAACAACCATGTACCTTATGTTTAAAATATAAATAGGTATTTCAAAAAATGAAAATTACAAAACTTCCAATACTTATTTAGTCATAAGTATTCAATGTTTACTTGAATCAAGATGAGTTTTTAGAGATGATGAAATTATAATACAGCCAAATAATTAACTTCTCCCTACCTCTTTGTATACAGCATAACTACACGTAAAATCAACTCAAATATTCTATTTCCAGCAACTCTCACGAAAATAATACCAAGAACAGCACCAGGAACTACCTACTGATTGTGCAAATAGTGTGCTTAGTACCTGTAAAGCACTTTGCATACACGATTTCATATAATCCTCATAAATGCCACCAAGAGAAAGGAACGGTGGGCTCATCAAGAGGTCAACAGCACGCCCCCACCTCCAAGCCCGAGACCACGCTGCTCACCACAACCACCCTGTTGCACGCATCACTACGAAGCTGCTGAAAGGTCGAATGAGCTAAGCAAAAACGGCCCATCCTATCCTCTCATTCTCCACTTGTTTTTCATGCTTTGCCAGAACCTCCAGGCTTCGCGGCCTTTTTCATACACTGGAGGGGCACCTGATGTTGGGAACAAATAAAAGAGAAGGAAAAGAAGCTATCTGACCCCTCGTGAAGGGACCACATGTCTCACTGTTCGTCTTATTCTTGGGGCACTGATGCTCATCTGTACTTCTCAGGAGGTGGTCTGGGCTGCTAGGACACTGCTCTGCAGCCTGGGGCCATGTGGGACGTCTGGGTGCGATCCTGGTCCAGCTCTCAACAACAGGGTGCGGTGGCACACACCTGCAACCCCAGCAACTGAAGAGGCTAGTGTAGAAGAATCGAGAGCTTGAAGCTAGCCAGGGCAACAAAGTGAGACTGTCTTAAAAAACATACAGCCATGGCGGTGCATGCCTTGGTGCCAGCTGGAAGGCTGAGGCAGGAGCATTACAACAGCAAGACCCTTTCTTTAAAAAAAAAAAAAAAAAAGAAAGAAAGAAAGAAAGAAAAAGGATGGGGACAGTCGAGGGCACAGTGGTTATGTCACTGGACTCCCACATGGAAGACCAGTTTGAGACCCAGACCCAGTCGCTAAAAAATCATACCAGGCACACGTGCATGCGTGCGTGCCCAAAATCCCAAGAGGAAAACGGAGAAGAGACTGCAGAGTGGCCACCCCTCCTGAGGAATGATTTCTAAATTTCCCTCTCACTGTCTCTGCATCTCTCTTGCTCTGGCAAGCGCACATGCCCTGTAGCCAAAACCTCTTTAAAAAGAGAGAGAGAGAAGGAGGAGGAGGAGGAAGGGGAAAGAAAAGGAGAAACAGAAGGGAGGTGCTTCTTTTAAAGCACAATTAATTTTTAAAAGATAAAACTGGCATTGCATTTACTCACTCTTTAGCCAACTATATACTATTTTGTGGTGGGGTAGAATAAAGACCATTTATCAAGCTTATTCAGGTAAACTTTTTATATATTTACTGCTTAACTAGAAACTTTTCCTGTGAAATTGATATAATCTATTAAAAAAAAAATGTCCTCACACTTTTCTATGCTACCTCAAAGCTTATTAACGCATCCCTAGACATTACTCACAGAAGACAGGCAATGTACACCAAATACTGAAATGGGGCATTCTGAGTTTCCGGAAGAAAC